GTTCAAATGCCGAAACAAGAAGGTGACCGAGAAGATCCCGCCTACAATGGGGCAGGCAATGGGATCCTCCGCTCCCGTAGGTAGCAATGTTGCCAATAGTTCTGGTACTGCTCCGGGAAACACGTCGGGCCAGTAGAAATGGTCGTTGTTCCTGCTAGGGTCGAGGTGGTGGACACACCCTCACTATCTCGAGAGATGGCCCAAGCTACTGACTCCAGTACCGTCCCGCAAACACATTCGGACCCATCGATCCTCTGTTCGTTGAATGTGTTTGAATCCTTAGAAGAGCTAGGGGAGGAGTGGTCTAGATCAGACCCGCTAGCTTCTTGGACGGCTATGGCTAAAGCCGTTAAGAGTGAGTTATTCGTCGGGAAGGTAGTCATCGGTGGCCGCAAGGCCGAGGCCTATTATGACACTTGCTCGACGCGGAACTTTATCAGTCGCACGTGCGTTGAGAGGCTGCACTTACAGGGGCAAGTGCAGGGCCTGGATCGACCTGTGCCAACAAACAGCGCATGGTAGTCAACGACTACCTTAAGGACGTTGAGTGTTATTTCCCGTACGCGGGAGGGGAACTGAGACATCGCGTTTCGTTCCTAGTCAGCGATGATCTCCCAATGGACATTTTGTTGGGTATGTACTATCTTTCGGTTGCACAGCCCCAGTTTGACTTGAATCGAAAAGTGGTCAAACACACTTTGTCCAGTGGAGGGACCACCAGATTACGTAAGTTTAAGGCTAGTAGTCTGATCGAGTCCTACGGATGCATGTGTGCGGCCGCGTTCTATAATTATTATAAGCAAAATCCGGAGGAGGGTATGTATCTAGTTTACGTCTCTGCAACAGGCGAGCCGGTAAAAATGCCGCCGGAGATAGAGGGAGTAGTCGCTAAGTACCCTGATCTATTTGAAGAGCCAAAAGGGGTTGTTGAGAGGGACGTCGTCCATGCGATAGAGATTATCCCGGGGTCTAGTATTCCAAAGGGTAGGATCTAGCGGATGTCTCCAACCAAGCTCGATGAGCTTCGCCGACAACTCAAGGAACTCGTAGAGAAGGGTTGGATCCGGCCGAGTGTTTCCCCTTACAGGTCTCCTGTCTTATTTGTACCAAAGAAAGGGGGAAATTTGTGGATGTGCATTGACTATAGGGGCCTCAATGCCATCAGTCTCAAGAACAGAGAGCCCCTACCGCGCATCGAGGACGTGTTGGATCGAGTGCAAGGGTGTCGGTACTTCAGTAAGATAGATTTGAACTCCGGGTACCATCAGATTGCAATACGACCCGAGGATCAACACAAAACTGCTTTTCAGACCAGGTACGGTCTGTACGAGTTTGTGGTGATGCCTTTCGGCATTTGCAATGCTCCTGGCACCTTTTAGCACGCCATGAACCGGATCTTTCATCACTACTTGGATAAGTTTGTCATCGCATACCTCGATGACATACTTATTTTCAGTAGGACTGTCGAGGAGCACGTCGGCTATTAGACAAAGTCCTTCCTCCTTCGACAACACCAGTTCAAGATCAACGGGGAGCAGTGCGAGTTTGGCCGCACCCGGATCTTGTACTTGGATCATGAGATTTCCGCGGAGGGATTGAAGCCTGATGACGCGAAGGTGGCCAGCATTCGTGACTGGCCACGTCCTCAGTCTGTGACTGAGATGAGGTCCTTCTTAGGGATGACCGGCTACTACCGCAACTTCGTCAAGAACTATAGCATAGTGGCCACCCCTTTGACGGACCTGACCCGCCTTGACACCACATGGGAGTGGACAGAGGTGTGAGGCTGCTTTTAGACATCTGAAGCATGCTCTGACACACCATGAGGTCTTGAAGCTTCCCGATCCTGACAAGCCACCTTTAGTCACCACGGATGCTAGCCAATATGGCATAGGCGCCATGCTCGCGCAGCAGGAGGGGCCAAAGTTGAGGCCTGTCGAGTACATGTCCAAAAAGATGCCCTCTCAAAAATTGGCTAAGTCCATCTATGAGAAGGAGCTCTATGCGATTTATAAAGCGCTAACCCACTGGAGGCACTACCTCCTTGGTCACTTCTTCTACGTCAGGAATGATCATCAGACCCTGAAGTGGATGAAAACCCAGCCTATGCTCTCCGATGCACTGAAACGCTGGATCGAAGTCATTGAACAGTATGACTTCGAACCCAAGGACATCAAAGGTGAGTACAATAGAGTTGCTGATGCGCTGTCGCGTAGGCCAGACTTCCTCGGTGCGCTAATCACTGAGTTGGGGCTTGCGGATGATGTTACTCGTTCTTTGGTGGAAGCCTATCGCGAGGATCCGTTTATGGCTGAGATTATACGCAGACTCGAGGCGAAGGACAAAGCGACTTCTGCCGAGTTTGAGTTGGTCAACGGCCTGCTGTTCCTTGAGAAGGCCGGGAATAAACGTTTGTGTGTGCCTAATCGGGAGTCTTTGCTTAGTTTATTTTTAGGTGAGTATCACGATGCCACAGAACATTTTGGTTATAAAAAGACTGCAGCCAACTTACTGCAGCAGTTCTGGTGGCCCGCAATGATGAAAGACGCCAAGCTGTACATGGAGACTTGTCAGATATGTCAGAGAGACAAGCCACGTACACAGGCCCCTCTTGGGCTTCTCAAGCCCCTCCCGATACCGGAAAGGCCTGGTGAGAGCCTGTCCATGGACTTCATGGATACGCTGGTCACCAGCAAGAGTGGAATGCGATATGTCTATGTCATTGTGGATAGGTTTAGCAAGTATGCTAGGTTAGTCGCAATGCCTGCAGCAGCCAAGACCGAGTACGTAATCAAGCTGTTCAGAGAGAACTGGGTTAGGGACTTCGGCTTGCCAGTCCATCATTAGTGACCGGGATGTGCGATTCACCAGTGAACTGCGGAAGGCCGCAGCTGCAGAACAAGGGACACAGCTGCAAATGACCTCCGGCAACCACCCAAAGGCAAACGGACAAGCAGAGCAACTGAACCGCACTGTTCAAAACCTGCTGAGGCATTATATCAAGCCCAATCAGGTGGACTGGGATGAGAAACTTGCTCTCATCGCCAGTCTGTATAACAACGCGGTGCACAGTGCAACAGGGGTGAGCCCCAACAGTGACTTTCAAACCTAGACTGCCCTTGGATTTTCTACTACCTGAGAATCAGCCTTCTGCTGCACCAGGCACTTTAGAGTTTGCATATCAATACGAGCGCCTGATGCAGCAAGCTGTAGAGCAGATGCACAAAGTGCAGTCGGCGATGATAGAATCAGAGAACAAGCATCGCCGCCCATCCACATTCCAGGTAAGGGACAGAGTCTGGGTCAAGTCCTCAGAACTGGGACAAGAGCACAGGATATCCCGCAAGCTCATGCCACAGTACTTTGGACCCTGGGAGGTTCTAGATATTGTCGGGATGATCCTGATGGGCCGTCGTATGTAGTTCAGATTCCTGGTCATCTTCGCACTTACCCTGTCTTCCACGCCTCTAAGCTTGCATCTTCCAAGGAAACTGTTCAGTTTCCCTCACGACGCTCAATGCTGCCCCCGACCATGGATGGAGAGGTCGACATCGATGGCATCGTGGACCACAGGGAAATGCCAGTTCCAAGACCTTCAGGTAGAGGACGTCCTCCGAAGCCGAAGCTGCAGTACCGCGTTCGGTTCAGACATCATATTGATCCAAAGGAGGATAGATGGTTTACTCGGGAGGAACTGATGCAGACCGCCCCACAGGTTGTCACCCACTACGAGAAGTTGCTGCAGAAAGGAAAGCGCCAGATTGAATAATGGAACTTCTCAGCGGACTGTCGAAGTATGGAGGAAACACAAGGCTCAAGGCCTCGATAAGCCCTATTGGGCCCTCTTTTCAGTACAGTCGGCCGCCCTAAGTGAAGGCAGGAACGACCAAGGCCTATTTTGGGGTCTCCACGCTACTGGGGAAATTCAGGCAGTTGCGCAGCGCCAGTTGGTTGAAAGCGCCCAGGCCCTGGCTACCTCTATCAAATGCAAATGAGCCAGGCCCTGGGCGAAATACGCAACAAGGCCCCAACACAGGCTGCAGGCAGTTGGGCACGGGTAACTGTCACAGGCCCTGGGCCTGATTTCTTTCAGACTGGGGCTCAGCCTCCCGGGGCCTACCGGAAGCTTCTGGGCCAGGGCCCGGTGCAGCCAGGTCGCACGCAGCAGGCAGGCCACCTCCATTTAGGAAAGTGCCCGCCCCCCAATTCCTCATTCGGGCACTGGCTGCATGCTGTCCAAGCGCTGCTGCGCTACACGCTGGCCAGGCTCACGCGCTCACAGGCAAGCAGGGAGAGGCAGGCAGCCATAGCCGACCTGCGCTGCATAGCTGGATGGGGCGCATGGTGGTCCTTGGGTGCACGTGGCATCTGTGAGTGGGGGATTGAGGTTGTGAGACATACCTGGTGCTTGAGGCGAACGGCATTGGCCGAGATCTGCTCGTACTTCGGGGAGCTGTTGACGTCACCAGCAGCATTGTAGATAGGCTAGATAGGATCTGCCATTTGTAGTCTGGGCACAGAGCGCCAGATAGGATGTCGACATTGGTTCTTTGTTGATGATGATGAGACTATCCAAACATTGTCACTTATGAGCTTTTGCTGTGCTCTTACTTGGTGGAATTCGTGTTGCAATTCTGCTTTTGGTTCGAGGTCACGACTATCTGGTCTCATGTGTATGATGCTGCTTGGTTTCTGAAGTTCGCTATCGCTCATTATCCTTGCATAATCATCAATTTATCACCATTTAGCAATTTCCAGAGTGTGTAGGATTTGTGTAGATATTTCAGTAGTGTGTAGGTTTTGCTTTGTGATTTCTGTAGTGTGTAGGATTTTTTCTACTTTGCTTTGCTCTGAATTGCCTCGTCCCCCTCCACGTCTTACTCCTCAGTACCCTCGACGTATGCACCCGATTGTTCGTGGGGATTCCACAAAATTGGAAAAACAAAGAAGTGAAAGGTAGTGTGGATTTTGAAGGAATGGTTCGCGCAAAGAAAACTTACACTCGGATGTGCTCAGCTGGAACAACCTGATCCTTGGCCGACAGCAAGACGACAACATCAGCAGGCAGGTTTTCTTGCCATAGCGTCATCTGATGCCTGGGAAACAACCAGCCAAGCCAACAGATAGCCAACAAAGATTTTACAGCAACGACAAGTGTTATGTGCCTGATGGAAATGAGATACAACATGGCATTCACACGTTCCCCATACACATTCGCAATGAGAAGACATCTAGGAGAGAGCAATTCATACCACACCGGATGAGAGAACACACAGTGGAAGCACTCAAATACCCAGAAATAGAATTGGAATTAAATCCAATTCTAATTAAACCTGAGTGGGGATCCGGGCCGCCCGGGTGACCGGCAGGGGCCCGGGGGAGGTCCCGGGCGGCCTGGCCGGGCAGGTCACCCGGTTGGGGGCTGGGCCCCCCCAGCGCACTCACCTGTCGGGGGATTTCGGACCCCCTTTCGGACCCCCTTTGTGTGTGTGTGTGTGTGTGTGTG